ACACACACACACACACACACACACACACACACACACACACACACACACACACACACACACACACACACATAATGTGTGACCTCAGACTGGTAAACAAAGGTCAGATTTATGTAGTATTTTGGAGTAACTTTTTGATGTTATGAAACAAAGCTTGACTAGTCTTATATAAGAAATTTCAAAAGTGACACAACTGAAACTTGGTTTGGCAGAAAGTAAATGGTATATTTATAATAGCAGAAATAACACAGCAGCAGAAATGACTCCATTGATGATGGCACAAGCATCTCACAGAGCCATGCCGCGTGTATGTTTTGCCAGGAGTGGAACAAACACATCTAAATGGAATGCTAGGAAGCAATTTGTTATACCTCCTTTGTGATATAATATAGTATATAATACGAGTATAATACGCCTGTTTTGAAAAAACTGTATTCTCCATTCTGATAGGTTATAATTATATGTAGTTAGTTAGATATAGTGATAACTGTGCAGTCATTCTTTTTGCATGGTTATAGAGGCAATTTTGCCATTAACTTTCATTTAAAGATCAGTGAATTTACCAAGGAAGACAACACAAAAATTGGACTTGTAGCATTATTCCTGTATTTTTTATTTTCTATAGATCTCATAATCATTTTTGGATACGGTAATGTTTAATAGCGTTCTTGTTAACACCGCCCTGTTCTGTAGTTGTGCCAGATGCAGATTTTTGTTCACTAGATGGAGCCACAGCCCAAAGCAAGGGCTGAGGGTGACGGGCAGAGTGGAGAGTGTGTGTGTGTCCGCACATAAATGAAATTCGCACTGTGCGTATTCAGCCTATAATTGTTTGAGCTTGTGTGTGTGTGTGTGTGTTAATTTGAGCATTCACGCTGCAGATTCCTCTTCTCCTGATTCTACCTTTATTAACATAACGTCAGCCCGCTCCCCTTTTCTATGTGCCCTGTTCAAACAGTGCAGCCTAACACACCTCCTGCCTCCGGAGGGGGGGGGCTCAAAATAACAGCACAAACAGGTGAGGATGTAGTGAATGGGAGGTGCTGCAGTATGGAGATTTTTTTTTAAGGACATTCATAAAGAAAACAGTTGTACGTTTGTGCTGCTTTAACAACCTCCTGAGGGACGATTGTTTTAACTGTCTGGTTGCTGCCTGAGACTGTAAATGCTCTTTAAAGTACTGTAGCTCACTGTACAACATCTCTCTGCTGATGCCAAGGCAGAAACTAGGTCACATCGATCGTCTGCATGTTGAACGTGTGGTCGGCACACACAGCTGAAAACTCTGCAGTTCACAGAGAAGTTGTTCTTTGTGGGTGATATTTCTCCTGCAGCAGCTGCCAGGATAAGCCTGGGTTTGTTTAAACCTTTCTTTTTGCTGGGAGCTCTCTATTAGTGTGAGATGGATTGAATCGTTTTAGCCTTGCTTTGTCTCATGGGCTGCAGAATCTGCCTCCTAGATGTGTCTTTTGTCCAAAGAGTCACCATTTGGAAAAGATGATCGGTCAGAGTTTATGCATCTGCTACGGTCTGCTGTTGAAATTGAAAGTGGGAGAAATGGGATGGTATGTGTCTCTTCCACAGTGTATGGTGATAAATAGGAAATCCAAATAGAATCAAGTGAATTGAATCATCAAACCCCTCTGGAGCCCTTTGTGAGGGAGCTGTGGTGTTAACAGATTCCGCTTTGAGAACCATGGGTCTGATGACAACATGCTACATTATACAGGAGCTGATGACACAGCTCACTGATTTTTTTGTTGTTGTTAACTTTACTTACTGAGGGGGTGTAACAGCTCTGTGTTTGGATTAATTTCCAAGTGCGGATGTTACTGATGAGAATAGGTCGTTTTGCAGGTAACTGCTCATGCACCATCAATGGCATGCAGAGACTTTTACAGATGGGTGAGACGAGTGGGTGAACCAACTGCATTCCAGTTCCTCATCATCTCTGACAACAGTGTGGCAGTACACATACACAAACGGCCAAAAAAAGACTGAGCATCTTAAAAAGCTGAATATTGTGAAGTTTGTCAAAGAGGTCAACTTTCATGCTCATTGAAGGTAAAGTAAATGGGTCAATGGTCTGTACTGGTCTGGGGTGCTGTATCACCTACAGTGACAGACGTCATGAGGAAATATGAAAAATACAGACCCTGCAATATTAGAGAACGAACCCAAATGATTGCCTAATCCCCTGCAAACTAGCACTTGTCAACAGAGGGGAGGAAAAACTCCCTTTTAACAGGAAGAAGCCCCCATCAGAGCCATGCTCAGGGAGGCTGAACATGCCATTTGCCCTTTCCACAGTTCAGGGATGAGGGTAAAAGAGGAGGATAGACAGAATGCTAGAGAAGGGTTTCGTGGGAAATCCCACCTTTCAAGTATTCAGAGAAATATCTCTCAAGTGCCACCTGCTGTGCCTCTGGCTGAATTGCAGACAATTTAATTTAAATTAATAGCAAGTGGAATGACTGTCCTACATCGACTCCTGCTACTCTCCTCTCAGTTCCAGCCTTTGTCAGCATGACATAAACGCTCCCAGAAAAAATGACAGAGATTTAACAGCTGATAGTCAAGCTAGCTTCCAAAGACAATTACCAAGTGCAGCCAGAGGGGGGCAGTAAATTTCAGGATAGATGTAATCGGGCAATATGAGATCTGTTTTGGTCCGAAATGCTGTTTTCACTTTAGTATCATTTTAATTGATGTCTGTTTTTATATTTGCTTGTATAAGACAAGCTATTTTCTTGTTGGGGAGCCAAAATCAGAAGATTTTTCACCATCGCTGTCTTTAGTTAAACACTTGTCTTTCACAAGTCATTAGCCAGTGAGCATACCATGGTTAATCCTCCCTTTCTGACTGTAATGGGGGCCATAATCTACTAAATGAATATCACGTTGCATGCGGTGTGACTTGAAACTAGCAACAGAAGCCATGAACTCATTAGGCCAGCAAGGATCATTTTACCATAAACGTCCAAACAGCTGATCTTCTGTTTGCCAACAGAGGAGTCACACAGGTTTAGTAGAATGCAGGTTTAAGACACCTCCACACTGGCTTCTTTGACTTTTAAGAGCTGAATGTTACATCCATCTATTCAGTCTATACACTGAGGTTAAGACATGAACCATGTAGTGCTGATCCAGTTGAGTTAAAGAATGTAATGATAATCGAATGAACGGATGTCCTTTAATAGGACTGAAGATATTTTAAGCTTTTAATCAACCAGGTGTGTTTTTCCGCAATTTGTTTGTTATTACTTATTACTCTCAACTTCTCTGATATTCCCTCCAGCTGCCACAGTGGCAGCTTTTTTTCATCACTTTTAATAATAACAATAATAATAATAATAATGTATACTTTATTGATCCCCGTGGGGAAATTCCTCTCTGCATTTAACCCACTCCCTCAGTGAAGCAGAGTGAATATGACCTTTGTTTGGGGTGTGTGTGTGTGCGTGTGTGTGTGCGTGCATTACATGAGCCCTTACTCTAGACTTTTTCTGATTAAAGACTCCAGGGACTCCAGTAAATCACACTCACAGCATGTTGCCTCTAATCCATCCTAACCTCCTCCAAACTGTCTTTTGGGCTGAGTAGAAATGAACATGACTTTTTATAGCAGAGGACTGCGCTTTGGGCCTGGGGGTCATGTTCTCTGCTTGATTTGCACTCTGCCTCACTCACCTGAATCATGAGAGGAGGTGTGATGCTGCTTTTGCAAACACAGAGGGAAACCAGGTTAGCTCACAGCTTGGTGTTTGGCTTTCACTCTCGCTTTGCAGTGGTTGTATATGAGCAATCCATCCTGCCGCGACACACTGCATCAGTCAGGTGTGTCATGCATTTCCTCGCTTTTCTCTTTAGTGCACACTGCAGACCTGTGATGGAAGGCTTGGATCAAAGTAGAGATAAAATGAGTGAATGTGGAAGCAAAAGGAGGAGAAACAGGAAGGAAGGGACTGAGAGCAGAACTGCCAGGGCTGATGAGAGAGACAAGGAAAACGATTGACTGAGGAAAAGAAACCTGTGCGTGTGCGTGTGTGAGAGAGAGCGAGCGAGATCCAAGCACGTTCTTGCCTGCTACCACCACATTTCCTAGAATTGAGCAAACAGGCTATTGAGCAAACAGGCTATTAAAGAGATGGCACAACAAGAACAGTGAGAGCCAGCTTGTGTAATGTTAAGTGTGTGAAAGAAGAGCTGCACATGAATACACATACATGTGGTTTATTGACTCAGCAGCCAGTATATTGCTTTTAGAGAAACACTTTCTAATTAAAGCTGCTAACAGGTCTGTGAGTGCATACATTGTTAAATACAGCTAACTCCAGGCGGAGCAGAGCCTCTAACCCACTATCTTAGTGCAGACAGACAGGAGATCACAGATGTTTTTTTTTTTCCTTCGAAGCATTTCTCATTGCTCTTCTTAAGTCGGTCGTCATCTCTTTAATAAGAGAAGGCTGATTCAGAGAGCTGAGGGTTCAAATCAAAACCCTCAGCTCCTCTTATCTCTGTTATGGGGGTGGGTTGGGAGCAGGCGCGAGGGCTTCGCCGCGCCGCTTTCCAGCAGCAGTGCTATGATACCTGGGTAATTGCTGTGTAGGGTTTACACACATCAGTGAGCAGTAACTAGGCAACTGGCCAGCCTGCCGCTGAAAGAGACAGAGACTTTCTTTCAGAGTCACGGGTCTGTCTGTTATAATCGACTCATTTCGGAGGAGCTGAAGAAACAGAGCAGGGACTCTGAAGTGTGTCTGCTTACAAGGGACCTGAAAGGACGGGAGACAAGATCACAGCCTAATGGCATGGAACAGGAAAGGGTTCACAGTTATTGGTTATTTGAGCTGGTGTGCAGCACACAGGTGTTTTCAATTTGACAAAACTTTTAACACAAAATATCTCGGTATGATGGAAAACTAATAATTAGTTATCATGGTTTGTGTGTAGCCTGTATTGTGTATTTACACGACTTCT